CTCTCCCTTCCTCACTGAAATCAATAAAAATATCTTCAAAAGTAAAATATAAAAACAAATCTAATAATTACATACCTCATTTTGTAAACTATCAGAAAGCAGTTGAAAAGAACCCCTACACATAACACAAATGATAAAAGGCCACATATATTGGCATATAGAGAGGAATTCTAGAGCTATGATGTCTAAAGATCAAATTTATTAAAATTAAATACAATTAAAAATTCAGTTCCTCAGTTGCACTAACCAAGGACTTTATTTGCGAAAGACTTTTTATAGTAATATCTGAAACTCTAAAGTCTTATCAATTAAGAAAAATAGATTTCTAAGTATTTCAAGCACTTACTTTTTAAAGCAATTTTGTGGATTCAGAGATTAAGTCAAGCCTTAAAATTATTTTAAATATTCAACCCTTATGCATTTCACATTTTAAAGATAAGTTTTTATACAATCATTTTAAAACTTACTTCAAAATTAAGATCTCGGATCAAGATATCTCCATTTGGCGTTGCTAAAGGAACATGATCAAATCTACAGAAGAAATTAATAAAAAAGGATAATTTTTCATTAAACACTAAGCAAGTGTAGCTGAAAGAAAAGGATACTACGTAGTTTAACAAATATTTATGGTCCTAAAAAGACTTTTTCTGTACGTACTTTATAATGTTATCAGCATTGATGATTTCTCCAGCTCCAGGTATCAAGGGAATGCTTTGTGCTCCTTCAATACCTTAAATAGAAAATAAGTATTAAAGTATCATAACCACACTGTGTATTAAAGCAAAAACATAAATTGTAAGACCTAGAACATTCATATTTACCCCTTTCTTGTTGAGAGATCATTGTGCGTTCGTATTTTCCATTTTTTAAATCCTTTAATACTTGCATTAATTCTGAAATCCGAGCAGTAAAACTGAAATTAAAAACAAGCTATGATCAAATCTCCAGAGGCTATCATATATTATTTATTTTTTGAGATAAAATTGACATATAACATTGTGTAAGTTCATATCTTGTTTTACTTTTTTTTTTAATTCTCACCCGAGGATTTGTTTTTACTTTTTTATTTTTTTAGAGAAAGAGAAAGGGAGGGAGGGAGGGAGAGAGGGAGAAAGGGAGGGAGGAAGGGAGGGAGGGAGGGAGAGAGGGAAACATCGATTGGTTGCCTCCCATGCACGCACAGACCTGGGATCAAACCAGCAACTTAGGCATGTACCCTGTCTGGGAATCAAACCTGCAACCTTTTGGTGTATGGGACAATGCTCCAACCGAGTCACCCACATCTTTTATTTTATACAAAATTAACTGAAGTTTAAAATTATTATCTAGTGTAAATAAAATAACCTAAAAGAAGTCTCATTAACATAAAATATTAGTGATAGTATGCATGTTTTACTATTACATTTCAGCACGAAAGCAGAAACATGCGGATAAAAGGAGAGGTTTCAGAGGATTCCTACCTCAGCAGATACTTCTTTAATAGGTACTAGTAAGTCAAGAAAGTTGCTTGCTGCTAGAAGTTTAAGGAAGTTTCTAGTAGATACTAGTAGGACTAGTACTTGGGCATTCCATAGGCCCTGAGTTCCTGCTAGAGTGTGCTATAAAGCCTGGTATAAAGATGTCCTTCTATCTGATGAAGGTATTTATAATACACTAGAGGCCCAGTGCACAAAATTCATGCACTTGGGGTGGGGGTTGGGGGTTCCCTCAGCCAGGATTCCAAGAGGGTGCAGGCCAGGCCGCGGGACCCCACTGGTGCACATTCAGGGCTGGGGAAGGATGTGGGAGGTTGGCCAGCTGGGGAGGGACCGAGGGAGGGCTCCAGCCCGTCCAGATCAGCCAGACCCCAGCAGCAAGCTAACCTACCGGTCAGAGCGTCTGGCCCCTGGTGGTCAGTGCACATCACAACAACTGGTCAATTGTCTGCCCCCTGGTGGTCAGTGCATGTCATAGCTAGTGGTTGAGCAGCCTTAGCATATCATTAGCATATCATGCTTTGATTGGTTGAATGGCTGACCGGACACTTAGCATATTAGGCTTTTATTATATAGGATATGCCAAAAGGTTGCTACCACCCTGCAAACAGAAGTTTTGGAAGATTCCTCTCTTATTCTAAAGAGGAGAAAAGAGCCCAGTTGGTGTCGCTCAGTGGTTGAGCGACAACCCAAGGAATCAAGAGGTCACCAGTTCAATTCCTGCACATGCCCAGATTGCAGGCTCAATCCTCAGTAGGGGGCATGCAGGAGGCAACCAATCAGTGATTCTCTCTCATCACTGATATTTCTATCTCCCTCTCCCTTCCTCTCTGAAATCAATAAAAAAGATATATATTAGAAAATAATTAAAAGGTATTTTTTAAAAATAAAGAGGGGAAAAGATAAAATGTTCTTAATATTAGATAGAAATCACTGTGGCAATAGAGAGAAATCGAAACTAATGACAAAAGGTTGAGGCATATAAAAATGACATCATCGTCAAAGAGAAAGTGTTCTATATCAGAGACACAAAACAGGATTTTCCTGTGAATAACTAGCAGAAATCTCCTAAAGAAACAGAAGCATCCATATGCCACGAACTGCACCAGAAAGTTAAGTAGGAAGAATGTCAGCGTTCGCAAGTGAAAGAGGCTCCGCACATAGTTTACAACTTCTATCTTGCCCTGAAGAATTTAACTGCCATAGGAGGCGGGGGAGCAATAAAGAGGAAATATGCAAATGAACCTCCAGCCTGGCAAACACCTTAGGCCATCCAATTTTTCCAGATGATCTAAAAATTATGGTCCTTTTTTACATTATACTGTGTGTTTTTTATACCAACCTTTTATATTAAGAGCTTGAAATACTGAAATATTTAATTCCATTTTATGGTCTAAGAACAATATTCTTAGACAATATGGCCATATTTACAACTGTACCTACAGATATCACAAGATAACTTTTCATTTTATCCCATTAATATCAACGTCATCTTTGTTCATCTTTTGCTAGGTTGCCAGTATCAAAGATTTAAGAAAAACAAAGTATTATGGGAAACAGAAAGTTCAACTGAGAAGATTCTATTCATTAACTTAATTTTCTGTGAATTAATAAGACTGCCATGATTGAACATTTCCCAGATTACTGAATACCAGTGTCCATGAAGCAGTTTAAGAAATCCTAACCTAGTTTAAGGCTCAGAACAACTATCTAAAGCAGTGGTTCCCAAACTTATTTGGCCTACTGCCCCCTTTCCAGAAAAAATATTACTCAGCGCCCCCTGGAAATTAATTTTTTTAAAATTTTAATAGCAATTAAACAGAAAGATGTATGTATTAATGTTTCTACCTTTTTCGTAAAATATAGTAAAGAAAGGTGTAAATTAGAAACATTGAAGTTTGAAATTATGAAACTATTTATTGAACTCAGAATAGAAGGTAATACAAAAAGTTAAAACAAATGCACCTGTGGCCATCACCGCCCCCCTGGATCTCTGCAGCGCCCACCAGGGGGCGGTAGCGCCCACTTTGGGAATAACTGATCTAAAGGAAACATAAAGACTTCACTATCTGAGAAAAATCTTCCTTAATTCTTTATCAAAACCAGCTTCCAGGAGTAGCAGCTTCAGTTATCACTGATCTTAACCTTAACAAAGCACAATCATTAAGGATAACATATTTTTAAAAATTCTCTGCAACTGCTCAATACTAATCTTACTTACCCAGCCAATCTAGTCATTTCACGGCCAGCCAAAACTATTCGACCCAGAGCTTGAGACATCCGCAAAAGCATCCTTCCACTTTGGTAGTAATCCTTAATAGAAATAAATATTAGTTTTCACTTACGTTTCTAAGATTAAAAACTAGGTTTTCTTTTTCTTCTTTTTTTTTTAAACCTCACCCAAGGATATTTTTCCATTAATTTTTAGAGAGAGTGAAAGAGCAGGGGAGAGACAGGGAGAGAGAAACATCGATCCAAGAGAAACACATTGATTGGCTGCCTCCTGCACATGCCCTGACAGGGACCAGGGATTGAGCCTGCAACCAAGGTACATGCCTTTGACCGGAATCAAACCTGGGACCCTTCCGTTCAAGGGCTGATGCTCTATCCACTGTGCCAAACCGGCTAGGGCAAAAACTAGGTTTTCTTTATTTTTATATTTAAACTTTCAATGTACCATTATTATTATTATTATTACTTTACCTCCAGAAGTTCTGAATGTGTACTCTTGAGATGTCGAGGATGAGACAAATCTAGGAAAGGGCGACTGACAACTAGGTAACCAACTACAGTGGCAAGATCTGAAACAAAGCAATTAAGATTTAAAATACTCCTCTTAGTCCACAAATCTCATTCCACTATCTCTTTTATAGCATACTTACATTTGGCAATTATGCTATCAATGAAGCCCATAGAAAACCGAAACAAAATGAAATTATGCAGGTGTTCCACCTGGCAGAAAGCAAAAGCAAAAAAAAATAATTATTTTCTATGTTTAAAAAAAACACACAAATCTACCATAAGGATAAAAGAAACTGTAAAATATATTTATTCAGCAAATATTTACTGACTGCAAATGATTTCTGATTATATTGTATATCACAGTTCATTGAGCACAATGATGATCTCAGAGCAGGTGCCAAACAAATACTTCATGAAACCATTTTTATACAAACAGAATGAAAATTACATAAAGAATGTTAATGTGGGATCCTTTACATGTAATAGTACAATGATATTTTTTAACAATACTATCAGATACATATATGCTTTGCTTTGTTTTGATTATTGGCTGTTAATAATCAAAACAAAAAGAACAGGAGGATGAGAGCATTTAGGTTGAACACTAGCAGTCCAGATTGGCACTCAATGCTTTACTTTAGTTTGAGACACCTGGTCTATGATGAATTATATTACTACTCATTCTGAGCCAAGTGCTCATGTAATTAAAGCCACAAAGTCCGAGTGTGTAGCTTTAATCTGAACATGCATTATCTCAAAATTACAACTCTAAAAATGTTTTTTATTCTGCATCTTTAGTGTTTTCACATTTTTCACCTATCAGATTATCCAAGGTCCTGCATGATCTGTCCCTGGGCTCTATCTTAAACCTCATCTGCTTCTACTTTGCTCCTTGGATTGAGTTCCAGAAATGCAGCTTTCAAAAACATGCTCCTGCCTAAGGCTTTCTTCTTGCCATGCTCACTGCCAGGAATACAGTCTTCCTAGATACTGTTACTTTGCGACTAACACCCCCCACCCACTTCAAGTGGGTTTCTGATGAAATGTCACCTCCTCAAGAAAGATCTTGCCTTCCTAGCTAAAATACCTAATAAATAGCCTCGATCATACTCTACCACTTTATCTTATTGTATCTGTGGTCACAGAGTTCATTACCATCTGAAATCATAGAAAATACCCATTTGTTTACATGTTTATTGACTCCTCCACTAAAATGTGACGTTCCTAAGTACTGGGTAGCTTGCTCTTACTACCTTCTGCAAAAGAATAATGGCTGGAACATTTATTCAATGAATGCTGTGTGCTACATGAGTGCTAAATACGGAAGATACAACAATGAATAGAACAAAGTTCCTGAGCTCATGGAGTTTACATTCTAATGAAAGAAACAAACTAATAAACAAATTAACCAGATAATTATAAATTGCAATATATGCTTTTAAGGGCACAGACCATTAAAATGGAAAGTAACTGGTGGAGGCCATTTCAGACAGACTAATCAGAGAAGGCAAGGCATCAATAAGATGTAAACTTTTGGGCTGAAATATAAAGGATAAGTATAAACAAGCCATGTGAAGAGTGGGCTGGTGAACGATTCCTGGAAGATTACCTTAAATGCAATTTAGTGAGCACTATCAAAGTTCAGTTATGTTAAACACACATAAGGCAAAAATCCAATTTATAAAATAATTTTAAATGGCAACCATTTTACTCTTCTTAAATCACTTCAAATATATATTAAATTTCACCAGCTTCCACTAAAATGTAAGCTCCATAAAGACAGGATTTTGCCATCACATTCACCACTGTTAACACACTAGCACCTAGAACAGGCTCAGGCAACTAGATGGCATTCAATACCTTTTAAATGAATAATAAATAAAATTACTTGAATTCAAATCTTCCAAGTGGCAAGTAAATAAAAACTGAAATATAGTTTCCACAAGAAACAATGTTTATATTCTAAATCACAGGTCAACAAACTATGGCCCACAGTCCAAATCCAGCCTTTATTAGAACACAGCCACACTCATTCATTTATATATAGAACACTAGAGGCCTGATGCACGAAATTCATGTAAGAGTTGGCCTTCCTTCCCCGGCTGCAGACACCAGGCTTCCCTCCCAGCCCGGGCTTCATCCAGAAAGTTGACCGGTCTAATTAGTATATTCCGCTTTTATTATTATAGATTATAGATGGCTACATTTGTGTGGCAGAGTTGAATATCTTTAATAGAGACCATAAGGCCTGAAAAACCTAAACTATATATGTATTATGTTGTTCTTTACAGAAAAAGTTTGCTGGCCTCTGCTCTAAATAATCTTCATAGTATTTTCATGAATGTTATTGAAACAAATTTTCTGTAGAAATCACTAAATTTATCACTAAATAAGACTCCTATGCAACTTCTGTAAAAATATGCTAACAGTTATTTTTAATAAATCTACCATTTTATAATTAAGCAACTTAATATATTGATATGATAGTTTTTATTCTCATATTGTTTAGTGAAAACAATATATTTGTATTTTACATAAGCAAAAGAAAAAAATCTTTCCATAAATACATGAGCCTCAAGCATGTTTTCTTACCAGTTTTTGGAAGACAGAATGGATTGTCTGCTTTTCTCTTTTATTCCCATCATAAAAGGCAATTTCTTCACTATTAAAAAAATAATTTAGCAGTTAATTTTTATGTTAACCAAGCCTGAAAAATTGCAAAACAGTATTTTATGACTGAGTATTTTTATTTAAATGGGTATTTTGTGACTAAAAGCTTACCAAGTACATCTCAAGCAGTGGTCTGCACTTGAGACCCAGCTCCTGGCTCAGCTGATCAGAGCATAGGAATACAGGCCCGACTAGACCCTAAACTGGACTGCAACCATATGTTGTATGTGTCATATATAACTGGCTGGAAAAAGTGTGCTGACCCTCAGAAATCAGAATAAAGAAATAAGAAATGAGAAGGAAGCTACCATGATATAGAGAAGGCAGGGCAGGGACAGCCATCATAAACTACAAATTGAGTACAGACCAAGACAGGAAGGAGAGGGGAAAACAACGGCTAGAGAAAGTTAGGTAGTGATGCCATGACACACAGCCTTTGAAAGACAGAAAAGCAAACTCAAACTTCACGACCTCACAGTGACAGCTCCCAGGGGGCCTAGCTGGATAATTGTTCTTATTCTTGGAACCCCATCATATCCTCCCAACAACTTCCATTTTCTTGAGCTGGTTTGAATGGGCCCACAAGGGCCACAAGTGTCTTGACTAGAAATAAAAGGGTGTGTTTACAGATGAAGAAAGGTTCAGTGTAATTAAGTAAATTTGCTAAAGTCATACAGCTAGCAAGTCAAGTAGTTGAAATTAAAACTGACCATATCTGACCCTCGTTTCAGTCTTCCCATTTTATTCAGTACTAGAGGCCCAGTTGTACAAAAATTTGTGCACTCGGGAGAAGGAGGGGGTCCCTCAGCCCAGCCTGTGCCCTCTCGCAGTCTGGGACCCCTCGGGAGATAATGACCTGCTGGCTTAGGCCTGCTCCCGGGTGGCAGAGGGCAGGCCCAATCCCTAGGTGCAGCCCCTGGTCGGGCTCAGAGCAGGGCCGATTGGGGAGTTGGGGGGCCGCCCCCTGTCATGCACAGAGCAGGGCAGATTGGGAGATTGCGATGCCACCCTCAGTCGCGCTCAGGGTAGGGCCAATTGAGGGGCTGGGGCACCGCCCCGTGTCACACTCAAGGCAGGGCCGATAGGGAGGTTGCAGCACCACCACGTCACACACAGAGCAGGGCCGATCAGGGGGGTGGGGC